AATTAAATATACTATTATATACCGTACATACACAATGAACTAAATTTCGTAGTCAAAAAACCTTGAAAAGTACATAATATAGCTTAAATGGTTACCTTGCGTTCAACTTCGAAACAATGCCGAGTTTCCCGCTACTGTTGATGGACAATTGTATTGGTAAGTAAATAATGATGATACCTGGATGATAAGATATATCGATATCTATTAAATAGTAGTTTTGGATATGAAACGATGGAACCGACTGCTTCTTGCTTTATTTATTTTACATTTATTATATATACAAATCAACAATATATTTAACGAAATGACCTTGATGACACTACCATATTTATAATGGATAAACAAAAATTCCACTAAATTACACTACACTAACACACACATCTTTCATTTACATATTACCAAGTTGTTTTGTTTAACTTAGAACTTAGAATAACTAAGAACTTGTATATCTCATTTTCTGATTGTATCCGGAAATACATAAATATTAATTGCATCCAAAGGGATTTATTCAAGATAATAATGTTAATGTTCCATTCGTCCGTTCCGATAGATAAGCGATTTCTGCGCATACCGATGATAAACACAATGACTAGATATTTATAATACACATATATATTTATAAGCAGCAACTAGTAATTACCTAATTAAATTAATTTTTGCTACTGGTAAACAGTTTGCTTAGTCTCAACAGGCCACTAATGCTGGATGAGGATAACACGGCGTAAAAATAATCAATAATAGTGCAGAAAACAAATACAAGCAATATTTTTCATCGTGCAATTGACTTTTAAGCAAAGAGATCATAATTAACAAGCCAATCAATCAATCGAATCGACAAGATGAACAGGAAATTCTTGCCAATCGCAGTGTGCGTTGCTTTACACGTACTCCTCAACAATGTGGGTATCCAGGCACAGCTAAATCTTGACCAGATTGAGCTTCAGAAGCAGCTGCCGGAGGAGCTCCTCAAGTCGAACTTCACCCTCAACGATGCCAAGGATGTGTTTCGCAAAAAGTGCAAAGAGGTGGCCGGCGAGGAGGCTGGCGGCAGGGCGTTCGAGGATATCGAGTCCGGACTTGGAGTTCTCAGCGATTGTGTGAACGGCATTGTCAACTATACGACAATGCAGCAGGAAATCGAGGAGGCGAGCCCAGAGGGCGAGCTGGATGTAGTTTTTAATAAGTATTGCAATAAGCGATCAAGTGCCATTGAATGCTTCGATGTGTTTACCGCCAAGCTCTCGCCTTGCCTGGACAAGGAGGAGCAGGAGAGCAAGGATGTTATCAAGCGGATCATTCAGAGTTTATTGAACTTTGTTTGCCACAAAGATGGAGACCAAATAGCTCTGTTTATTGCTGAGAAGGGGCCTGAGTGCCTTGAGTCCGAAAAGGACAATATCCAAAAGTGCCTGAACAGCACCTTTTCTACGTATCTTAATTCTGCGGATATCCATGACAATAAGATTAAATCCATACCCAAACTGACTGTCGGCCAGCGGCAATGTGATGATATGTTGAGCCTGCAGTCGTGCGTGGTCCACCGGCTGGAGCAGTGCACCGACATAACGCCAGCCAATCTTGTGGAGTCCATGTTCAACTTTATCAGAAACGAAACACTATGTCGCAACTATCAGAAGTCTCCCCTAACCGCAGCCGCCGCCAGCAGCAGTCAAGGCATTCGGGCAAAGCCAATATTGTACTCTCTGTCTCCCATGTTTATTTTGATGTTTGCTCTCCGCAAATCTGCATAGTTCTAAGCTGCAAAAACCAATACCGCTTGAATCTCTTGAATATCTCGAATATATTTACTTTACTTTTCCCCCATCAAGATTCAAAAGTCAAGTAAATAATTGATGGAAGGTCGCGCGGCGTGCATATGGATTTAATGGATATTATTTATGCACCAGATTCACATACAAACATATATCTGTACTCGTTTATAAGTGTTTACTCAAAATATTGAAAAACTAATTTGTATTACCGGTGCTAGCACCATTCCATAGGTCAAACCCAAATATGTAGATGGGCGCACCATATGGCAACCTACCTACGACTTTTTTGCACGCAACTCAGGCCGCGGTCAAGTCTCCATAGTAGTAATTTACAAAATAATAAAAATGAATGAATGTTAAGACATTGTCGTACCCTTTTGGTCATGTCGTGCGCCCATCTCTAAACTATGTATTACATTTAATGAGGCCTTTGCTTTTTCAAGTCTATTGCTTATTTGCTTTTGTTTATTGTGTTTTTTTTTGTCATGGTAACGAATCTCTTGAATTAATCTGATTGAAGTGAACGAAAAACACAGTGGGATTCGGATTAGGGATAACTCTTACATCTCATGGAGTGGGTACGAAAGGGTTCGGGTTAAAGTAAATAATATTTAAATATATATATGTATCGTGTTTTTTTTAAAGAATACAAGTATCATAAATGTGCAAATAAAGTGATATAAATTTGAAAGAACATTTAATCTGTAATGGTTATTTTTTAATAAAGACATCAAGATTAAGGTGAAGAACGTTTTCGTTTTATTTATTTGTACATTTCATTTCAAGCTCTTTGCGCCACAGATTTAAATAAATTAATTGTATATTGCGATCAAGTAAGTGGCCAGTTCGATAGCTCGGACTAGATAATGGATAGAACTAGTTCATTTTTGGCAATCGATCTTATTCGCTTAGCTATTTCCCTAAAAAGTTTACAGAAAAACCCCTCCAACTTGATTATTTTTGGCTTCAGATCATCTTTACCTCAACTTGCATTAAGCGAATATACTTATACACATGAAATTAAAGAACCAAACAAAAGAAAGCAAACTGAACAAGTGAACAGCCAAGTGTTTGTCATCTCTAATTGAATGTTCACAGTTCTTGTCTTGGCTTGACTTGGAATTTTCATGTAATTGTGAAACTACGGACGAATCTGCGCCATTATGCGAAGTCCTCTGCAAGTCAGGGCCAAGCTGAAGCTTTCTGAAGGACAATGAAGATCGCTGCTAACACCAGAATGGAGGAAGTGGTGGACGCCTGCGTGATGGTGCCAATCACTCCGCTGAGCATAGTGCTAACTGGAGTCTCCGTCGTATTGCGCTTCCTTTCCATCATTATCAACTGGAGTCTGGCCTATGATTATTGGCTGGGTGGATCGTACAGCTACACCGCCTGGACCATTGGATCGATTCTGGTGCCCATGGTGATCACATCGATCATATACACAAATGTGTAAGTATGCCAATGCCAAGGCCTTGAACGGTTGTATTCTAGCATTCAGTTTCAGATTGGCTGCCAGCAACTCGGGCCAGAGAGGCATGCTCTCCACTGTTGTGCTATCATATCTCTTTCGGGACGTATATGCACTGTATTATGCACTGGAGTGCAGCAAGGCAAAAACGCAAGGCCACAAAGAGTTAGAAATAAAGTAAGCACGGGCGCTGGATCCTGTTAACCATGGGTTACCATATCCATGACTAAATCATATAATTGATTTGCCTTTATACTGTCAGATACTATCAACAACTGCTGCGGGAAGAGTGCGATGTGGGTTTTATTCGTCTCTTTGATTCGTTTCTGGAGTCTTCTCCCCAAAAAATCCTACAGCTTGTCATACTTATGCGATCTTCAACGAAATTAACTTGTAATATAAATATATATGCACCTTGAGAGCAGTTTTATAGATGAATCTCTTTCAGATTATCGACTGTTTGCCTTCGTCATCTACTTCGGCAGCATTGCCTGGTGCATACAGGCCTATAATCGTTCAAATCGCCTGGCGCAGCTCGACAAATATGACATTGCGGCCAAGGGGCGTTTTGTGCAATTCCTTTTTCTACTATGTCTCACGGGTAATTAAAGTCACTTATCTCACAATAACAGCTATGCTTTTTATACATTTTTATTTGTTTAGTTTCACGCACTTTATGCATCGCCTATATGGCCAGTCTCTTCCCCCTGGAAACACTGTGTTTTTGCATCCTACATGTATGTTTTTGTGGCACTGTCGTCTTTGTGTTTGACTCGCCAACGATTGCCCAATCAAGCGTTTTAAACTATATATATTGCCTGACCTTTGGCGTGGTGTATATTTTTATTTTTACCCCTGTTAAGGATGCTCCTACAAAGTATAAGTATACCTCGTACCTGACGTTTTGTCTTTTGCAAAACATTATCGTCTGTATGCTATATATCCCTTTGTATTTATCTACTGCCATTGTTGCCTTGTATATTTGTGGCATCATGCTCACGATATATTACTATCTGTTCTGCCACCCAAGTATTTTATGCCTATAGTTTATGTAAATTCTCTTTTTGAATTTGACCAGGATAATAAACGTGTCTAGGCTCTAGATACAGCTCTATTCTGTTTCATGGTGAGCTGGGGATTTATTTATTTTAGGGGGAAATTATGTAGATTATAGACTGATTGAAGCAATAACAGCATTATATGTATTTATATTCATAATATGGAATTATATTTTTTGAACAAATCCTTGGCTCTAAAAGGTGTTTAGCCCTCTCGGTGTCGAGCCGTTTTCCAGAATCTATTTACAGTGATTATAATGAGTCATAAGGATTTGATTATAAAAAAAATACAAAATACATCTCAAGCTGATATCATTAGTAATAAGGTTTCAAAGCAAGACGTTTTCGTTGTTCGTTGTTTTTTCCGGTATATTTGTGGTATATTTGGAAAATAAAAAGGGTTATTTTGGTATATATTTGAGGGTCTAACGGTATATTCTATCGATAGGTCCGAGGTCAAACTGGTTACATTGTAGTAATGTCATAAGGTCATAAGGTATACAATCCAATAAAAAGGAGTATTTAAAATAAGCCAAATTGATTCTTCAAATAGATTATAATATTGTTTCATTGTTAAAGATCCTTGCAAGCTAGTATTATCAAATAAAACATCAAAGTCGGTATATTTAAAAAATGAGAAGGTAATTTTGGTATATTTTTGAGGGCTGGTATTATTTTGCGATTCTACGGTCGCACTGCTCAAAAAAGCATCATCATTGCCGGACAAAAAAACTTTCAAAGAACTTTGAATAATCCTTAAGTGCATCATCTGTTTGTTGGCTAATTCCTAAAGATGTCTTCACGTTACGATCGCGCCGTTACCATTTTCTCCCCTGACGGACATTTGCTTCAGGTGGAATATGCCCAGGAAGCCGTCCGCAAGGGCTCGACAGCGGTAAACCTCGCGCTTTTTGCAATATTTGTCATGCAATTACAAAAAAACAATTCTATTGCTTAGGTTGGTGTTCGCGGCGGTAGCTGCGTTGTGCTGGGCGTGGAAAAGAAGTCTGTCACCAAGCTGCAGGAGGACCGCACAGTTCGCAAAATTTGCATGCTCGACCACCACATCACAATGGCCTTTGCCGGCCTCACCGCTGATGCGCGCATTTTGATTAACCGTGCTCAAGTTGAGTGCCAGAGCCATCGCCTCAATGTTGAGGACCAAGTTACTTTGGAGTACATCACTCGGTATGCAGAGGGCTCGTGTCTTTCGGGGCCTTTTGCTGTTTAATTTTTTAACATATTTTTTGTACATTTTTAGCTACATTGCACAGCTGAAACAGAAGTACACTCAGAGCAATGGTCGCCGTCCCTTTGGTATTTCCTGCCTGATTGGCGGCTTTGATGGCGATGGCTCGGCACATTTATTCCAAACCGAGCCTTCTGGTATTTTCTACGAATATAAGGCAAACGCTACGGGTCGCTCGGCCAAGACTGTGCGCGAATTCTTCGAGAAGAATTATCGCGAGGAAGATGTGGCCGCCGAGAAGGGTGCCGTCAAGCTGGCCGTCCGCGCCCTGCTCGAGGTGGCACAGTCGGGCCAGAACAACCTGGAGGTGGCCGTCATGGAAAACAACAAGCCATTGAAGATGCTGGACCGTGAAGTCATCCAGGAATATGTTAACATCATCGAGAAGGAGAAGGAAGCGGAGTTGGAAAAGAAAAAGCAGAAGAAGTAACACACCCGGCACTCTTCAACAGAATGCCTACAATTCGAACGTTTTCCAACTTCAGGATCACTGCAAAAATTCCCCTTAACATTATCTCTCACTCACATTCAGTCTCTTTATCCGATTACCACCACACAGAATCACTTAACACAATATTCATTAGCATATAAAATATGTAAATTTCATATAAGAAATTGTTGGGAGCTTTTGCAGTTTTCATTGACTTGGAGAATGTTCTGCGCCACATCTCATCGGGTGGCCTGAGCGCACTTTTTTATAAATTAAATACTTTTCTACATTTTGAAATGTTGTAAAGTGGTTCAAAGCTACATAATTGATTTGTATAAAATACATGGTCTACCATACACGAGGACAGAGATCCAATATGCTTTTCATTTGAAACATTTGACATCGGTAATATGGGTGTAACTGGATATGAAGAATAAGAAGATAAGTGAAGTACAAATGCAAATGCATGAAAAGAATTAGAATTCTTATACCTAGAATAAGAAAACTCATACAAGCATAGCTAAAATGCGTGAGAGCCGATCTAAACAAATACGCTGCTAGCTTAACATTAGAACGCCCATTTGGTCCCTGATCCCTGATCCCTTATACATTTGTCGTGGCCATTCGAAACAAATATCGGCAGTAAGAAGTATCCAACCAAACCCCACCCAACTTGACCATCCTTCACATGTTGCGGCAGGTCAGGTTCAAAGATCAAAAGCAAAGAAATGAATCTTCGTTCTATCTCAGTTAAGCGAACCAACCAACCAACAAATGCGCACGTATCCGTGTGGGTCTCAAACGTTTCGAGCTTAAACGAGAAGGGACGTGTGAGACGCTTTTTACGCGTCAAAACTTTTATACCCGGCACTCAGTACTACATCTGCACCTTAGCGGTGTTTTGTCAAATTTTAAATTTGTTCTTCATCTGTCATCTACATCTACAACACTTCTCACACCAACACGCTCCGTTAGCTCGCCGCCCTTCCCTAGACCCACACACTGCAGACTCGAGGCAGAGGCAGAGGAACCGTCCGCACACAAAAAAAAAAAACAAATAAAAGCTGCGGGACTGGGTGGTTTAAAAGTCGGAAGAGACATCGGCAGGGGGAGGGCAGAGGCAGGGGCCGAGTGAATCAGAAGCAGAGTGTGAATGAGAGAATGTAAAAAGAACAACAAAAGCTGCGGGACAGGGTGGGTTTAGCCACTGGAAATTAATTTCTCCATTGTGGCTATAATAATGATCCAATCGGATCCCGATTTGGTGATCTGATAGATATGGCCATTTCCTACGGAATGGCGTTTTGAAATACACTGGTTTCAGTGTGAGCATATAGCAGTCTGGATGCAAAATTTGGTGGCTCTAGCTCTTATAGTCTCTGAGAACTAGCCGACAAACAAGACGGACAGACAGACATGCCTCTATCGACTCGTCTATTGATGCTGATCAAGAATATATATACTTTATGGGGTCGGAAACGTTTCCGTCTGTGCGTTACATGCAACCGTTATTCCCCACAAACGCAATATACCCTATTTACTTTTCGAGTACCGGGTATAAAAACAACAAATTGTACAGTTGCCTATATTCGTCTTACATGCGCACATGCATTTGCACCAGCTGCCTGGGGTACTCATATGGCAGAGTCAACTGTGACGTTTCCCTTGTATGAACGGACACATCTACATATGTACATATGTACTGTGTGGACTGTTCAGGGCTGCAAGCTTAAGAGCAATACAAGGTGGATTGAATGCCTACTATCGCTCATAATCTATCGTAACAATACAGTATGGTTAATGCCTCGACGCTTCGAGACTTGCTATCAACAACTTTCGTGTCAAATTGAAATATTTAGTTAATTTTATTATATTTACTTTAACTTTGCGACTTATCGTGTTATATAGAAAATAAAAAATATACGTTTTCAATGTATCTCATAGCTTACATCCGCGCTTCGATGAATCGCATGCATTGATACTATCGATACTACTAGCAACCATGTGTCATCTACAGCGAAAATTTGGTGCGCCAAAAACATGAACTAGTGTGAAATAATTATAATTAAGACGAATCAAGTGCAATATAGATTGTAACAGCAAACTAAAAAACCAAACATGTTGTTAAAGAGTGTAGTTAAGTGCTCCACATTGAGGTAGCGACCCTATAGTGCGTTTGAAAATTGCGTTGTGAAAATGGCTGTTTTGCGGGGTTGGGGTGCGCCGTGAGTGAACGAGTGAGGCCAACAGTCAGTGGTGCTCTATCGCTGTCGTCGTCGAACACCGTTTCATTTTCCATCAAAATGCACAGTTACAAACAGTAAAGTTGGATCACAATCCAATAATCAGAATAGCTTTTCACCTCCACTCAAAATAGACACATTTGCTTCAAGGCATTGGTGTCAGTGTCCAGTAAGAGAATCGTTAGAGAGTGAAAAAAAGCCTTTGTTGTTATGCAGCAACAGGACGATCCTCCGTCACTGCCCGTGGGCACGGAGGTGAGTGCCAAGTACAAGGGCGCCTTTTGTGAGGCAAAAGTCAGCAAAGTTGTGCGCAACATCAAGGTGAAGGTGGTCTACAAGCAGGGCCTTGGCACGGGCATAGTGCCCGACGATGCCATCAAGGCGCCTCCTGGCCAGATGCGCGTGGGTGCCGTCGTCGAGGTGCGGCACCCAGACAGAAAGGAGATCGTCGAGGCGACTATTGCCAAGATTCAGGATGGATCGCAGTACACGGTCGTCTTTGACGATGGAGACATCACTACCCTGAGGCGAACAGCCCTCTGCCTGAAGAGTGGCAGGCATTTTAATGAGAGCGAGACCCTCGATCAACTGCCGCTGACCCATCCGGAGCACTTTGGCAATCCCGTGGTTGGCGGTAGACGGGGTCGCCGTAGGGGACAACTGAATGAGGACAGCTCCGATGATGATGACGAGAGCGATGCCAAGGAGGTGGTCAACGAGAAGGAAGAGAACATTGGCCAGGTTGTCTGCGTGGAGACAGAGTCCAAGAAGAAAGACAAGGAGAAATGGTTCCCCGCCTTGGTGGTGGCACCCACAGCTCAGGTGAGTCCTCGTCCAGCTCCTTCCAGTCGAAGAATAGAGCTGCCCCCTAATTTGTCGCTTTACTTTTGTAGGCCACGGTCAGAATCCGCGTGAAGGATGAGTATCTGGTGAGATCGTTCAAGGACGGACGCTACTACACGGTGCCCAAGAAGGAGGCCACGGAGTTTACCAGGGAGGTGGCAAGCAAACAGGATGTGCCTGCCGTGCAGGCTGCCCTCGAGTTCCTCGACAGCAGCATCCTGCCGCCACACTGGGACCGCGACTCCCTCTTCGGCCTGTCCAATCTAACCAGCGACGATGATGGCGAGATCGATTCAGACTCGTCGGACGACGAGCCGCACGAGGAGAAGGATCACTTTGTGGCCCAGCTCTACAAGTACATGGACGATCGTGGCACACCGCTGAACAAAGTGCCCTCCATTCAGAGCCGCGACGTGGACCTCTACCGACTCTTTCGCGCTGTCCAGAAGCGCGGTGGTTATAATCGCGTTACGACCAAGAACCAATGGAAGATGATTGCCGTTCGCCTGGGCTTTGCTCCCTGCACGGTCAGTGTTATGAATCTGGTTAAGCAGGCGTTCAAGAAGTTCCTTCAGCCCTACGGGGATTTCCATCGCAAGCTCGGCTGCTCTATGCTAATGAATTCGCGAAACTCAAACCGCAGCAAGGGACGCAGTCTGGTCAGGGCCAATTCAGTGGCCTCGCCCAAGCCCATGGAAAGCACAAAAACAGAGACAATCAGCAAGTTGGCCCAGCCGAATCAGACGGCTCACATCACGAGTTCGACTAGCTCCGCCAGTGCTGCAGCAGCAGCAGCTGTCTCATCCGCTGCCACCTCATCCTCATCGATTGGACCGACTTTAAGCGCTGCAGCGAGCGCTGCCAGGGCCGCCTCGACAGCCTCCATATCGACAGCAGAGGAATCGGAGAACACCAGCGAGTCCAGTGTGGTGGTGGAGCCCATCAAGAAGCAACGCAAGGCCTCGGCGGCAGCTAGCACCCAACAGCAGGGCAAGGTCAAGAGCCTGGTGGAGAAGTACGAGGATAAGTCCTCAGCAGCAACTTCCCTAGCTACTGCATCCGCCGCTCCTACCGCTGCTGCAACTCCTGGAGCTGTCATAGAAACCGTGCAGGCAACAATTACTGCGGTAACAACATCTGCTGCCAGTCACACTCCATCCACGGCCACTCCAGCATCATCTGCAACAACATCAGCAGCAGCAACAGCAACGGCCACTCCTTCGGCAGCTGTTGGAAAAGATACCGAGTCGGATATGCCTTTGGCCAAGATCAAGCTGCAAGCGGCCGCCGCTGCGGCAGCAGCCGTGACCAGGAATAGCATGGAGAAGGACCAACAGCAGACCAATATCAGTCCGGGCAGCGCCACATCCAGCAAGGCCAATTCTGCAGACAATCAAAGGAGCCGCGATGCCTCTCCAGCCTCGGGTAAGTTCAGGTCACACAATTCTCTGGAGATTATTTATTCTATAGACATTACGACGTTTATTTATTGTGATCAGACGCGTACTTCGACTGCTGCTATGCGAGCTTCACTTTCACCTTATGATAGGCATTGGCCAGGACGCCGCGCAGATTCCAGATATGCTCGAACTTCTCCGGCTGCACATTGTAGGCAGAGTCTACGGCCTTGGCCCAGATCTCCACTTGCTCTTGCTCTTGTTGGTCCTTCGTTATGGGCAGACGGGCGGTCCACAGAGACCAGCCATAGTGCCGGCCATCGGGTGCATCCTCTTGCTCCAGTTCGGCCACATGCCATGTCTGACCCGCGTCGCCGGTCAAATCTACGCGCAGAATTTTGCGCCCACCACCGCTCCAGGCATAGCCACGCACGGTAATATATCCGTCCTGCGGATTCACTTTGACTCGCTCCCCCGGCAGCGGTGTGCAAATGGCCGAGGTAACCGGCATGGCCTGAATGGCGTCGGCCTTGCCAAAATCAACCGTGTCCCAGTCCGTGCTGGGACTGAAGCCCTTGTAGTCGTTCTGCTGCCAGTGGGAGTCCGACTCGTGGTCCGCCACCACGATTCTCGTCAGCCATTTGACATTGCGGGCACCCACAGTGCCGGGCACAATGACGCGTATGGGATAGCCATGATCCCGTGTCAGCGGATTATCGTTCATCTCGTAGGCCAAGATGACATCGCCACGTGGATCCAGCGCCTTTGAGAGTGGTATGGAGGCACCATAGGGATGGGAAGTGGGATCCAGATCGGCACCCTCGAATATTACGTGCATGGACTCGTTGGGTTGCACTCCCTGCTCCCGCAAAAGATCGCAGAGACGC